CCCCACAGAGCGTGACTCTGGACACCTGGCTAGGCTCCAAGGTAAAGAATCAGGTGTTCCTAGGGTTTCCAGGTGATTACAGGGTTAAATGGCAGTAGAGTTGAGTTTTCCAGACAAGCTGACAGAACACATAGACTTCAGTTCAGTTTAGACCCTTTGGTTTTGATCCTACCTACAGCAGAGGAGGTTTCTTTCTTTCCAAGCGGGCACACTGGGTGGCAGACGGGGAATTAATGTCCCCTTTCTGATGTTAGACAATAAATCAGCTCCTCAATAAAATTTGGGATTAAGGGCTGTCCAGATAAATCAAAGTGGGAATCAAGCTTTTTCCTCAACTTCAAGGCAATGGATTAGAGAAGAGGGACACACTCAGCCTGATTATCTCAGTTATGATACGATTAGGTGTTAAAACTCTACCACGGCTGATATTTCTCCCAGTGCAAGGTCAATTTTCCCAGTCAAAAAAAAAAAAAAAAAAAAAAAAAAAAAAGAGAGAGAAAGAAAAAAGAAAGAAAAAGGAATTATGCAAACAATTTAACAGCAGGGGCCAGTCTTTATTACAGTCCCCTCAGGATGGGCAAATGAAAGCCCTGAACAGCTACCAACAACAGTAGCCACAGTTACAGTAACAGGGCTTAAATATCATGTGAGTTTAGCAGCTCTCATCCACCAAGGAGAAGTCACGAAAAGGCACATTACATGCAGCAATATCTGATAGACGTTTGCCACAATATCAGATCCAGGGAAAGGATAAACTGATAATCGCTTCTTGAGAAAAAAAAAAAAAAAGAAGCTGGAAGGAAAAGCAGCCTTTCTGGTAAATCTGTGACAACAGCATCAGCAGCTCTGACTGGTTTGTTGCCCATTCCTTTTGGCAGCCCAGCAAAGTCATCTCCCAGAGATCTACACTCTATTAAGTAATCGTTGCACTCACATTCACTAGGCTGTAGCAAAGGCATGCCCATTAGCCAATTGACTATCCCATTAGGAGGTCCTCTAAGCACTGTGGGCTGTTACATCTTCCTTGCAGAGCACCCAGGAGCTTCGTGGGCCATCACTCCAGCATGTGCCCTGAAAAGAGGAGAAAAGAGCAAATTTTTGTCTGTGAGATAGAGACCTCTGAAGGAAACGTTGCTGTTGCTTCCTTCACACTCTAGGTCTCCCTAGAAATTTCTTCTCTTTGGAGGGCTCCTCGTCCTCCAAAATAAACCCAATTACTCAAAATGGGCAGAGGCACAGTCAGCCAACACGGTCCTAAGGACAACACCTGATGGAACCAGGCTTCAGCCATGCTTGGCACAGGATAAACATCTGCTCTTGCTTACCAGCAGCATTTGGCCTTTCACTTTCGGCTTTCAGCAACAAGAACTGGTTCTGCACAGCATCTGTTGCAACTTCTTATGAGCACAGAAATGCACAAAGAACCTAGGCAAGTAAAACCAGTGCAGGGAGACTTCTTCCAGCCCTGCTTCATCGCAGCAGACTGTGGGCAACTTGTTGCTCTCTATGCTTTCTTGGCATGTGCAGAGGCACCTTCTTATTCTCCCAAGGCTATGATGGTCTCTAACATTTGCTGCTAGAAATGGCAGCACAGACTTTTCCATAAAACTATTTGAAAAATTCAGATAATCTTCTCTTCTGTGTTGATGTGTATGCATGACATGACACGCCATTCAAGTAAATCGAGCTTTACTGACATGAATACTCCTCACAGAAATGAATACACGCATATGTGCCCCAAACTAGATGAAAACAAAATTTTAAATTCACAGGTACAGACATTTACACCTATACACCTATACAGAGACAATGCTATGTAGTTTCTCTGATCTATTATGAATATGACTCAAAAAATCAGTAAACATTAACCATATAAATAAATGTGTGATTTACACAGAATGCTTAAAAGTAATTGCAAAAGCATTTGTTGAGTAATTAAAAAAAAAAAAAAAAAAAAGATTGTCAGGAGATGACCTGGTTGTGGGAAGAGGCACTTAATTCACTGCATGAATGACTCATGGTGAATTACTTGCATAACTCCACTCATGGAAATCACTACTCTGCAAAAGTGCATACATGTTAAATCAACCAAAACGCAGAGTGGTCCATATTCTTGGTACAATGCCGTCTTCTTGACAGTACAGAATGAACAAATATCCTCTCAGCTGGGCGGCTGGGGGGGTGGGGGAAGGGGGTGTCCTCTGTTTTTGGTATCCTGGCAATGTTTTCAACAGACAGTTCAGCAGCACCCGCTTGTCCTATTCTTGCCTGATATTTATGTTGAAAAGAAAACCTGGACCTGTAATATTCAAGACCAAGCTCTTGTTGATGATGAAACTTTGACTAATATATCTGAGGCTGCATTTCTCACTCAACTCAGTTTAATGCTGTAAGGTAATTATGGTCCTTTGCTGCAAAACACAGAGCTCCATGAAGAATGTCAACCGGCATGAACAGTAGTAATATTTGCTTTCTTCAGGCTACTCTCAGTATAAATAACTCCTTTATTTTCTCTCTGTGCTTGAATTGTGAGGTACAAAGCTTACTGGAACTAAACACATGGAATTCTTTTTCACTGTCCCATCCCACTTTAATTTCCCATAGCAAGTCTCCAAAATTAAAAAAAAAAAAAAAAAAAAAAGGCATAGCTTCTTCGTAAGTCTCATGTGCCTGACATGATCCACCAGCCACACTTCAAACCACAAATACAGATGTCAGAGTGACCAGGTGATGCGTATCCCCTTGGTTTCAACACAGTAATTTAAACTGCATAAACTGGGAGCTTATTCTCTGGGTATAGTCAACGCAGAGGTTTCAGCTAGTATTTCAGCACTCTTCTGTTAGGAGATTTATTCATTTTAAGGAAAGCCTTGGTCTATAGGGAGACTCACTGCCCATATGTTGCACAAGGAGCAGCTGCAGTAGGAATTGCCAGGTACAGAGAGCATCCCATCCAGAGCAGACATTCACATGGTAGTGACAGCACTGAGGGCAACACCATCCTTGGGGAGGCAGGAGAAGCATATTTGCTTTTGAAGAGCTGCCCAACAGCTAAAGCACTGACTGCAAACAGCAGGCCCGTGCGCTGTGGGAGCTGCAGCGTCGGCCACTGCTGCCCAGCTGGGGCAGGAAAGCAGGAGTGGACATGAGCAAAGGGATCCTGCTGCCCAGCAAGACTGCAGCTACGCTGATGCAAAAGCCCTGGAGTTGAATCCCCAGCACCTTCTGGTGTTTCTCCTGACAATCATTGAATAAAACGTATAAATATTCCCTGGAACTGGAACCTGAACCTGGGATTTCCTTCGTCCTGGAGGAAACAATCCCCCATGTCATTCACTCATGGTGAATATTCCCATCAAACCCATCTCTGAATATTATGCTTCGGCGACGCAGAAGATCGGGGGAAAGACCCAAGCGGCTCATGGTAAGGAAAGCCTGCAACCCTCTGCCTCTTGCTTCCCAAATGCATGCTCTAAAAAAACAGGGTATCCCATGCAGGAGAGGGACAAGAGCTCCACTGCAGCATTTAACTCAGCCATGTTTGAAGAAAGCAGGGATGATCCAAGTACCCTGCACTAAGCCCTTCCAGTAACTGAGTGTAACATGTGTGCCCTGGCTCCTGAATGGCAGTGGGACCGCTTCCAGTTTCTTCTCATGGTTACTGTACATTCGAGCATGTGCTGGATCTGTGGCTAAGATCCACAGGGAATTTTTGTATCTCAAAACGGACTCGGCTATTGATTCCAGGCAATTTTGGGAGTTAAGTGGTGCCAAGATGCATACAGTGGGCTGCCCAGGGAGGTGGTGGAGTCCCCATCCCTGGGGGTGTTCAAGAGTCAGGCCGACATAGAGCTGAGGGATCTGGTGTAGTTGGGAACTGTCAGTGTTAGGTAAATGGTTGGACTGGATGATCTTCAAGGTCTTTTCCAACCTAGACGATTCTGTGATTCTGTAACCCAGTTTCAGATATCAGAGTATGGACCTATTTTTTTTGATACATTAATATTGCTTCAAATCCATGATCCAACTTTATACTCGTGTTTATGAAATTCATGCTTGCTTTGTGAGCAGATTCATAAAAGACATCCTTAGCTTTGCTATTTACCACCAGCTCTCTTTGAGGTAAGCAGACAAATCTACCTCAACCATTTCTAAGAGAGAATTGTATTAACATGGGAGCACACGAATTCGGCAAGTGCATGCTCCAGGAGGGTGCCGCACATATAGCCTAAGCCAAATCCACTTACAGGCAAGGAAGATAGCTGCATAGTGGTCACAAGGTAGACTTTTAACAGAAACATGAGAAATTTTTAACACATATTCCAGAATCATGTTATAAAAGGACAGATGACAATTCACGCTGCATCAAGTCCTAGAACTCGTTGCACTGGGGGATTACTGACAAATACACAATTCATCTTGTTCTAAAAACTTGCATCATATTTAAGTGCTTGAGATGGTAGACATAGGAAGAAACTTTGAGCAGTTTTCAGAAACGAGCAGTTTTAGTGTCTTGTAAATTAAGCAACAAACTCAGCAGACATAAGTACAGGATTCAAAGATGACACCAGATTCTGGATTTGTGCTGTTAACCCTATTTGCTTCTGTGTCCGTTAACCTTCCACCTTTTGGCTGCCCAGTCCATTGAGCTTACTACTGCCTGACGCAGACTGTACCTGATCTGCACTTGTGCAACTGCTGTGGTTCTTCTGTCCCAATTTTTGAAAATCTGTCTGGATTACTTTTTAGCCATTGACATTGAATCAAAAAGCTTGATAACATGATCTGTGAGATCTTAGGCTGCAGACGACTGGTAAAACCAAACTAGGAATTATTATTCTGTGTTATACCTCCAAATGGAAAATTTTCAGCTCTTGGAGTTGATGATACCACCAAGAGGTGTTCAGAGATTTCAGGCATGATCTGACTTGGCTCAGCCCAGCATTTCTGCCTTCAACCACACATTCACAATAACCACAGGCTTCCGCACGCTTCTAAGAAACACCTTTTATTGTATGACAGGAGTTGTCATGTGAACGTCAACAAAAGATATCATTCCATAGCAATACAAAAATCAAATTATTACACAAATGCAAAAACCCAAAGCAAAACCAGAGTTAAGATGATGAAAAAGCAATGCGCTGTTACACAATGCAAAACATACAGAGAAAGCCACATTCTTCTGCTAATGCTCATCAACATCACAGGAAATAAGTTATTTCAACTCTTTCTTTTCTCCCCCCCCCCCCAAAAAAAATAGGCAAACTTTAAAGTGAGATATTTCAAAGGGTCAGAATAATACAAAAAGCAGCATTTCCGGGAAAGTTTCTAAAACATTTGGATCTTTTGCCCCCTTTTAATTCTTTCTGTAATCTTATTTTAAACATGTATTGGGAAGGTTAAAAGAAGCCATCAACACAACTTAAGCAACCGGCATTACTGATGTTGCTCAGAAGGCCCTCCCAATTCCAAAGGGCAGTACGAACAGTACTGCAGAAGACTATGCCTATATGGCGAATAAGCTCTGGTTCACTTCACTAAGAAGAATTTTGCCCTTAAAATAAACAAAACATGAGATAACCAGTCCTTAAGAACTGTTAGTTTTGACTCTCCCAGTGGTCTTTTGAGGAGGGGAGGAGCAAAGATACACAAAAATGAATGTCTGAACAATTCTTGAGATCAGAAGTAGAGGCTATTCCTAGTCTTTTACACCAAACAAACAGCAGCTCTGTAACTGATGATTTTCAGTATTACTTTATAAAATTGTATTTATTAGAAATAAGACTCTGGAATACTTTAAGGCACCTCATGACAAAGAAATATTAAAGGCTTGAATAACTCAGAAGATTGAGTTCTTTTTCCAAGATCCCCAAGAAGGAATGTAGCTTAGGGTAACCAGCTTTGCTATTTCCAAATAAAGCATGAAAATTTTCAAAGTGGAAGTTTAGAACCGCTTGAACATTTCTTTAAAAGGAAACATAAAACACCTTGCCAGAAACATAATTTGTCCATTTAACAGACTAAGACCTTCACCAGAGGAAGGCCTTTCTCATGCCTGATCTGAGTTTTGCTATTCAGATACACTGCACTTTAGTTAACTGAAATTAAGTGGGTCAATCTTAACCAATACTCATCTAAAAACAACTATCAACAACAAAACCAACAAAAGAATTAAAAAAAAAAAAATTTTCCGATTAAAATATTTTTGTTACTTTAAACTAAACAGATGATACAACGCCAGTGACAGACACGAATGACTGGCTATCAGTTGTTCTACTCAGCAATTTATGGGTTTCAAGTGTGATTTTGTAAAAAATTTGTTTTCTCTTATACTGACATTTGATACCTACAACTAGTAATGTCCTGCCAAAACATGTGAAGAAGCAGAATCAGCATTTTCAGAGATACCTAACATTTTTGTGCACATTCAAAAAGCTACAGGATCAAATTAATTCTAGCTTATAGACTGATAGCTAGATCTGTCAGGGTCTCATACCAGTGAGTCTGCAGCAGCCAGCGTTTTGGAGCTCTGCTCTGAAATATAACTTACCATAGATTCATTTCAGAGCTGAAATGAACTAAAACCGTAATTATACCCTTGGTTTACGCATGCATATCTCCTTGGTTCTGATAAAAAAAAAAAAAAGTAAACTCCAGGTATATGGCCAGGAGAATGTACTGTTCTCTTAAGAGTATTTAAAAGTCTCAGTGTATTATTACGTATCATACTTACTCTCTTGTAAGAACTACTTAGAAATAAAAAGAATTCACTATTGTAAAACATAGTTAGGCTCTGGACATGTCCACACTGCTCAATAAAAAAGGTAAACAAATGAGCTCAAGAACCAGAGTCCATTAAGTGTCTACACTGCCTTACTGGTCAGCTCACCCCAGCTCTGTTTTGGACCACTCCAGCCAGGTCTTCCCATGACAAATCCTGAGCAGTCTGGACATGGCTCACACCACAGATCCCTTCCAAAAGGCAATTACAGACAAAACCATGCAAGGTTGAGCTTTCTTCATGCTACACAGTCCCTCAGCATTATCCCATGTGACTCTATGCACTCAAATACTTCTTTATGTCTTCACATACCTCTGCGATACAAACACCACTCTACTAAGCTGCAGAATAGCCCTATCCTTATTTCAGACAATTGAATTGAAAAGGAAACCACACCGAAACACACTAAATAATTGTGAGCTAGGTCCATAAGTGGACTGCATGAGTCTGGAGAAGACAAGGGCCAAGTGATACAGAAAAGTGGATGTGGCTGGTGTGCTCTAAGAAGGATCAGCCATAAGCACTGCTTACATGAGCCAAATCGGTGCCATGTGGCTCTGGGGACAGGTAGCTGTGCCTGACTGTCTGCTGTTCAGCACCAGATGTAGCACAAGCCTCAACCTGCGCAGCACTCCATGAAGTTCAGTTCCACTGATCTCAGTGGGATTTCTTGTAGTGTAAGGTGCTACACACCACAGAAGATGTGTCAGAACCTGGCAAAATAACACTAGGGACAAAAGCATTTAATTTTCTAACTTCCTTCTAATGATAGAAGAGGATGATACCAGCAAAACCAGACACGTGATGTTTGCTTCCCCCCAGCCCTGCCAGGGAAGCTGGCTGGTGGCACTGCAGGTAGTATGAGGCTTTGGCCTCAATTTACTTCTCAACAAGGAAAGTAATTCTGTATTTGAATCAGTTATTTGCTGGTAGAACAGCTTGAAATGAGAAACATTTGTGTTTGCCTTACTTTTAGACCACTGGGTGAACACTGGGTAAATAACATTTGTCTTACAAAGGTAATAGCAAACATCTTCAGTATTTTTAAAAAAGCACAGTATTTTCCATGTCCTGAAGAGATCCATTGCCTTTTAGTCTCTTCTGTGCCCTTTAAACAGTAAAATGAATAGATTTATTTTCTACCGGACCTCAAAGAGTATATATCTCACTAAACATGAAAAAAATCTGAAGCAGCACAGCACTTGCTTGATTTTTTTTTTTTTAAAACATGGGAATAGTGCCTTTGTGTTAAAGTGCTTTGCTGAATCAGGACATAACCTACGAATACAGAACCTCTCTCACTGCATTCCTCTCACTATCAGCAACAGCCATTCAAAACTACAGGTTGCACTTTCCTACCTATTCTGGTAGGATGGTAACTTCAAACAGCTGGAGTTCAACAGAATCCCTGATGCAAAACTTTAAATACACTAAGGTTACATATTTTTAACATAAATTTAATGAATTTGTTGTGTACCCTGCAGTTACAGCTTTGGCTTGAAGGCACAAATATTAAGGCACAATAAATGCAAATAATGTATACATTTCAATGTGTTGTGTTGAAGATAACTTTGTACTACACAGTATTTAGGTATAATGACATGTCATTCAAACATTTCCTCAAGTTATTTTAATACCTTTTTTTCTTTGATAACCTGGATAAAGAGAGGAATGTGTGTTAAATTATTTAAATATTTCTTCAGTGCAAAATGTGGTAATTTTCTTCTAAAGTATAGAAGACTTGAGATTGATTTTTCAGCATTTGGATTTTAGCAAAATAAAAACTAATATTTACATTCATCGTGAACAGCATTATTTGAATTATTTATAAGAAAAAATTATATAGTACTTTTTGCTATCAAAAAGAAGTCTTTTTGGCTTGTTCAATTCTGTTTTCTACCAAACTGCACAGCTACTTATGACAGGTAGAAAGACAGCTGCATTAGACAACTAAGTTGCACACTAACAAATCTGCTGTTTAGACACAGCTGTTGTGCTAAAGTGACACTGAAAAAAAATTGGGTTTGCTTGCTGTCAAAGTATTTCCAAAAGAAAAAAGGACACATTCCAATTTTTTTAATAAGCTCCAAATATGCACCCTAGACCTGTTAGGTGTCCCGCACCTGTTTAAATAAGAGATCTCTACCACATAATTTTCAAATAAAAACCGAGTCTGCCTAATTTCCTTAGCAATACAAACATAATTAGTTGGAAAGAAAAACATATTGCACTGAAATTAAAGAAAGAGGGACAGTAAAAATTTTCTTCTCAGTATTAAATAGAAAAGATGTCCAGTGCAAAGAATCGCCCCCCCCTTTCCTCTCCCGTTGACACTTGCAAACATAGTCACTGAGTTTAGATGATCTCAGGTTTACATTCTATGGAAAACAATTAAGGTTATTCGAAATCACAGTGCAGTTTCGGTTATGCATAATCCTGAGGAAGGATCCAAGGAGGAGTCTGTAGTAAGCTGACCATTCTGAACAACTTCTGGGTAATTCTTGCTGAAGTACACCTAGGAAAAATATCAGATTCTGTGAGTAATTGTGCATCAAACACATTTTAGTTTCACATAAAATTTCAGAACGTAAATACAGTAGAGATAAATACATGTCCTTAAGGAATCCCAACAGGAACTTCTGGTTAATGGCATTCAGTAACTGTATGTCACTGAAAAATTAGTAAAATTACTATATGATCTTACATTATAACAAAGTGTGAGAAAAATCCCACACAACCTGTAGATCGACTCAAATTCTGGTAATTCAGATAAATAGATAGGTTTTATCACTTTATATTAAACTGGTAAGTAAAATCATTTTACTAGCTCAAAACATGGAGATAAATTAAAAACAGGATGACAAAGAAGCTGTGAAATCTTGCGTCCGCACAAGGGTTTCTCATTTTCACACATAAAATGAACACAATGGATTTGGATGTTAATATCAGGTTGTAATCCCTATATTTTACAAACTATGATTGACAACCATTGAAACTTCAAGGTATATGTATGAAATATCCCAGCGTTTAATTTGTGCTGCAGAGCAGTTATAGGGCCTATAGAAATGTGATCTCTGGATAGTGAACCACAATAATGAAAGAAGAAGCAAAAGCTTTAACAATGACTCAACCAAGCAACTTCTCTAAAATGTAAGATGATACCAAATAATAGGACAGTTCTTTGCCAAGCCTTTGAGTTCCTGAATTCTACCAATTTCTAGCTCAACTAGAAGAGATACAGGTTTCCTGATAAATGTATAATCAGAACATAAAGGAAATGAAATGCTGTCAAGTTTCACTGTTCCACAATCATCAGTTTTTAGTAGCTGTATCATATCTCTGTTCCTTGACAGATGCGCATAACAAAATGAAATAATGTCAAGACTTGTGTGCTCTTATCTAAAAATGTGTTTGGGTGAAAAAGGACTTCAAATACAATTTTTTCAAAGAAGAATGTGAAAAGTTTTGTTTGAGTCTTTAAAAACAGAAAATACACTATCTTCGTAAAGCTGACATGTGTCACGAGTTAGGCCTCATAGTCAGACTGCTTTGACTACAGCTTATGAAACATTTCTCCAATTTATATTTGAGAGTGTTGTCAACAAAATTCAGTTTGTTTGATAATAATGTTCTTCTCATATATGAATGCATGTATAAAACACGCGGGATATAAAAGAAATAGTCATTCTATAAAAATGTTCCTGTAAGTACCACTGTGTTTTTTTGTGCACACATGCTAGCGCAGGATATATGCAAGTTTTAAAGAATATTAAGGTCTGATTTGAATCAACAAAAGAACTGGAAGTCCTGTTAAGAGGCATTCCTCAGTAACCAGCCATGATGGGATGCAAGAGAGGAAAGTTAATCAAGCACCTGCCTGCACACACGCTGCAAAGGTGGCAGCCCCAGTTGTATATTCCCATCCCATTCCTGGTTTAAAACATAAAACTCTGGCGTACATTTAATGCAGCTTTTGAATGTGATTTTTTAAAAAAATGTAAAGTTAATAGAAAACCTTGGAACATTACTAGAGACGTAATGAAATGGCAGCTGCTTTTCAACTGTCTCATCGCAATTCTTCCAGAGTCCAGTCCCTCGGGATATTAAACGCCCAAGTCTTTATACAAGTCTCTTCCACTGCCAACAGAGCTGCAACCCTTTTAAAAGTAATCACTGAGGTGAGATAACACCTAGTATTTTAATATTTACACATCTCTCATAGCTTTAAAATAAAATAAACCTTTTTTCCCTCAAAGTACTCAAAACTTATTGATGGAAAACCAGCCCTATATCCCGATGCCACCAAAGCTTGTGGAAAAGCCTCTCTCAATGCTGCCAGGAGCATGGAGTACACACCAACTTTTGTTTATCTGAATAAATGAGACCTTTCTGGTTTTGCTTTTTTAACTGTTTGATGACTATTTCTCACTTTCCCAGCAGAATTTTCTCCTAATAGCTTCTTGTAAACTGAGCAAAGATAAAAACACAGACTCATGATGCCAAGCACAACTCTACTGCAGTGAGGCTTATGGGCTAGTTAATATATATTCAGCAGTCTCCAGTTTGAGCCATGCCTGCTTTATTTTTGACATTTGCACAAAAACTGGGGATACCGAATGATCCAGAGAGACACATAAATAGTAACATTGGATCAATTTAGAAGCCTGAGCTAATGTTCCAGCAATAGCTTGATCTTGCAATATTTAGTTAAGATGACTGTGAGATTTTTTTTTTTTTTAAATTAGGTTTCTTCAAAGGCATCCAAGGTACTCTTCCAATTTAAGATGTGTAGTCCCTCTTCATTTACACTTAAAGGATACATGCAGAATCAATACTGCTCCAGAAAATGCATTTAAATTCTCACCTTACTGAAAGAAGCTCATGGTACAAGTTTGTTCTACACCAGATTCAGGTCCAAAACGCAATAAATCAAACAGTCATTGCCAAAGCATGGCCACATTCCAAACCATTTTACTTAGCAACCCAATGTAATGCCTTCTGAAAAGTATGTATATATGTCATATTACCATTTCTTTTTATGTGCAGCATGCTGTTTTTCAACAACAGAAAAAAAGCTGTTCTTCATAAAAACAGTTCTTAGTAACCACAGTAGGAATGTATGAGACCAACAGCAATACATGTAACAGACTTACTAGTGTAAAAAGAAAAGCCATTGGAATCAGCTCTTCTGACTAAGCAACTTCTCTGGAAGTATGCACAAAACACAAGGGACAGTAATAACAAAAACCTTGAATTAATGTCCAAGTCCTTCAAACAGGAAGAACTTTAACCGTGTTTCTGGGTAGCTGCTGACTAGAGATATAGTCTCTCGATTCCCGTATTTTTGGGCTGAGTGTGGATAAGCACCATGCTTTGCATTCTTGGCAGATGCTAAAGCTTGTATCTGCCTTCTAGCCTGGGAGTTAGCAAACTTTTTCATCAAACCACATTTCAGCAGAGACTGGTTCCTGGATCTCTTCCCTTCCTGTACAAAATCACATAACATTGATGTGGTAACTGCAGATGACTATATGGGCAAGTAACATCAGGCAATTATTTTTATGTATTTTGAATTATCTTTGAATGCAATTGTGCAATTGAGGAGGGCTGCAGGGAAGGAAGGAGAGACAGCATGACATGGCTAAATCTCTACAGATGACAGCTGGACAGCTTCACCTCTTGTCATTCCAAGGAAGCTGGCCTTCACTTTACAGACAAATACTGGTCACATGAATTTGAAGCTATCCTTTTAAACAATTCATATAACCTCCAGATTGTCATACACATAACGTAAAAAACACAGCTAACCCACTCCTTTCTAGTTATAAAATATAAAAAGGTACGTTGCATCAATTAAGAAGGACAGCAGGACTCATTACATAGTCTAGTTAAGGACAAAGCTCTTTCCTCAGTTCTGCAATTAATGCCACATATGAATTTATAGTGTACACTCTTAGCTACAAAGCTTCACTTGAAAAACTCTTAAAAGAAAGAGGTTTCAGCAGCTCTAAAAAAAAAATCTAAGAATATAAACAGATATTGAAGTCTCATCCCTAATCTTCAAAAAGTCCAGTAAAATAGCCTCCAGACATGAGCACACAGCCTCCATGAGAGCACAGTATTAATTTTTTTCCCAATTTGCTGTTAATGCATCTATTTTTACTAGAAAATAACCAGGCACCTGCCATTTTGTTCCCTGTCTCTATGTATTGCTTCCTGCCCATTGGTCTCCTGTTTCCCCAGGAAACAGTTTGGAGTTTGCCTTCCCCTAGCTCTGCTTCACACATCCAGCAACTTGAGGAGAAGAAAGCATAAAGGCTAGAGATAAGACTTCTGCCTCATTTGAGAAGGCTCTCTTAGGTCACTACACGCCTAATACCAGTGCCTTACTTGCAGGCTGAAGTAAAGTTACATGACTATGAAGCAAGTTGTTGTCAAACTGAGCACTGTCAGTCTCAGAGCTGAAACTTCATTGGCACTGAGAAATAAGACCTTGTTCTGGACATCCTGTGTGGTAAATCATCAAAAAAAGAGAAATCAAGACAAAAGCTAGTCAAAATGAGTTCCTCAAACACAGGTCAGTTTTTTAATCTTCTTATCTCTGCTTCAGCTTTCCATCTGAGAAGTAGAGATGCTGTAGCCTCACCTTAGAGGCATATTATGAAAATTAATCCATTGATCTTTCTTAAACACTTTGATTGCCAGAGGAATGCTCACAATTACATTAATAATTTGGTACTCAGAGTAGTATTTGAATAGTAAGCAGTAAATCAGGCACAGAGCCTTGTAGTGAAGAAGGAAGCAACAAAACATTCAACAGCTGTTTCTTAATTGAGCCCTGCCCATCCTATGTGCAGGACAGAGTAAGGCTAAAAGAATGAAGTAAGAGAACACACAAAAATAAGAATGTGATTATATCCCCAGTGACCATACTACAATACACAGGTACAGAACTTCGAACTAAAATTTGATTTTGAAAATACAGAAAAAACAGATAAATGCTGGACTCTGCAGCCCTAACATGTTTTTACAGCAAGTTTTTCTAAGATCAATGTCCAGCACAGGTGAGCATGTCACATATTATTTACACTTACCGTTTTGTGTACATAGAGGAGGATGTAAGCTATCCAAACAGTCTTTCAAAGTGGGGTATATAAATACACATTATTTGGAAGTCTGTGTATATCTCACTAAAAGAAGCACTGAAAATGATGGCTTTGCCTTGCAAAGCTGACAGATTCTTTAGTAGAAGGCTTACTGTAACACTGAATATGCTAACTTAAGATAAACAAACTGCACGGACAAATTTAATTATCCCTTCCTCTAAAATTACCCGTTTGGCTGTTTCAATCAGAGAAGCTGCTTCAGTCTTGCCCACTTGTTGCACCATTTTGTAAAATAAGCCATCATGTTCTTGCAGCAAAATATAAGGTTCACCATATTCTTTCAGTCTTCCTGCATCTAAAACCTGTTAAATCAGCAGAAACCAACATATTAGCATATGAAATTAAAAAACGAATGTTAGAGACTTACAAGCAAAGGGGGAAATGTATGCACTTTAAGTGCTAAGATGAATTTTGTATCCTGAAAATGAAATATGTCATTTTCAAATTAGCATAGTACTTTTTGAGTTTATAGACCTGTTTAGAGTGCCCTACAGCCATTCCACCTATAGGAATCCAATGCAAAGTTATGCAGAATATGGAAATACAATGTTTGTGAAGCCAACAAAGCAGATTATACGATTCATTGTGTAAGAAAGAAACAAAGAGGCCTAAAATGGGCTCTGAAGTAAACAGCTGTGGGTAAAAACCACGCAATAACCACCAAGATGGTTAAGGGAGAATAAGTAGATCTTTTGGATTAGAGAAGGTGAATATGTAATTAAAGAAAATGAGGGTGTTGCTGAAAAGATAAACAGTTTCTTGCATCAGTTTTTGCCAACTACATATTAGAAAGATACTTACCCTGAACCTATTCTTTCTACATAAAAAAAGATGAGATGCCACCAGAGACATAGGTACCCAAAACAGAGGAAAGGAGAAGGAAAAAACAACAGAGAAATGAAAAAGGCATTAAGTCAGTAAGCCACAGAGGATATGTACAGTCAAAAGTATCACAAAAATTTAAGAATAAGCTCATTGAACCTCTAAGAAAATATTCTCATACTAGTGACTCTGAGGTAGTTGCATGGTAGCAAATGTTGCACTTACATTTTCAAAAGCCTTACGGGATTAATTCAGGGAGGTTTTAGACTAGCATATATATTTTGAGATAAGACGAACAACCATTAAAACACAAATAGAAGACACACAGATCACAGGTAGAATTTGTTCTCCACAGTTTTAGCAAAAGTAAACTGTACCTCACAAATCTGATACAATTCTTAATGCACCAGAAGACAACCAAAGAAGAACCGGTTTATATGGATTTCCAGAAAGGTATCTGGTGTAACTAAATAATAGTGCTACATGGGACAAATGTTTTTCAAGAACCTGGACAGAAAACAGAGGAATAAACAGCACGTTTTTCTTTGTGGAAATCTGAACAGGTTGGAACTGGTGGGAACCACATCATTCTGGCGTATGTGGCAGCTACATATATATGTTAGTCATCAGAAAAGTGACAATGACACAAAAATGTGCAGGTAAGTACAGACCAGAGGAGATTCAGATACACCTAACCCAAGAGAATGGGAAACACAATAGCAGGAAAAAGTCAATATTGACAAATGCAATGCACTCAAATACTTAACTGGTTTATAAATTAATGGTATTGACTCAGGAGAGAGATTTGGGCATCAGTCTACAAGTTCACTACTTCAGTCCATGTGTAGGAGCAGTGAAGTTAAAAAAAAAAAAAAAAAGAATTTATGTGAGACAGTACAAGTAATTCAGAAAATATTTTTGTTCTTATATAAATAAAAAACTGAATACACATGGCACACTACTGAAAAAGATATTGCCACAACAGAGGGACTTCAAGGACCCCCTAATCCAAGCCGTAATTGTGGTGTACATAGTTGAAAGGAAAAAAAAAAAAAGAAAAAAAAAAATCTAAAAAACTGGAGCTGTTGATTTCAGGAAAGAAATTAATAAAAGGATAAAAGGTATCATGAGGACAACTTCCAAACCAACAAAAATAGTTTGAAACCTTCTGTTTGAAAGAAGAAACTCCAATAAGCTTGGAGATGAATTCAAAGTCTTGTGAAGAATCTTCAAAACGTGCACTATGCCTGTGCAACTCCTTACAGCAAAACATCCTGATAGCCAAGAGCTTGGACAGATCAGCAAGTGGCTAGGACCCCTGTTCATGACAAAACCCTCAGTGAAGCAGGACAGCTGAGCAGATCCCTTTGCCTGCACTGGCATGAAAATTACATGCTGACGAGATTGCTGTCGACTTCTTTACCACCAGGGACTCAGCACCAGGGGAAAAGCCTCCACTCCTTTGCTTCCAGTTCAATTAAGTACATGGCATTTGAATGGAAAATAACTCAGTCAACAACAGCAGCATAATTACATTTAATTTTATAAACGGTATGCACAGAAACCTACAAGAAGTTATTTGCTATTTTCAAAAGCTTGTATCTTGGAGCACCCAGCTATGATTTTCCTTTGCAAGTGACTTCCAATACTGTTTGGTATATAGCTGAAGAATGTACTCATGGAAAAATTTAAAAATATTAGTAATATTGCATAGCACAATATACAGTAATTTAATAGGTTAAGTGTTTCACCTGCAATGGTACATGTGTTGATTTTTCAGTGTGCTTAGTCCTATCCCATTTAACTGAACATTTAAGGATTAATTACAAATATAATTTTAAATTGCAATTTTATATACTACAGTATGTCATGGTTAAGGACAGCTTCCTTAAAAATGCAATAAATTAATTTATCATATAGCGTTCAACATAATTAAATTGGGGTGCCGCAGCACAGGGCATCTCTGGTGCCTTCAATAAGTAAAGTTTTTTTCAGCATGGCACTAGATTATGTAATCATGCCTTAATAAAGAAAACAGAAAGCATCTTTATTAAATGTGTCTCTCAAGTAAAAGAGCTACAATAGAAAAGTAGAGGTTTTTTGAAAATTTATATTGCTGCGGTATTTGAGTTTTAACATTAATTTTGCAAATATCTGAAACAACCACAAACATGGATAATCTTTCTCCTCCAGAGAACCTGGGAGGGAAAAAGGAAAAATTTATTCTTCCCTGACACATTTTTAACAGCCAAGTCCAGAAGATTAACAGATAGAGCGAGCAATTTATGTCTAAAAGAAAAGAATTCCATTCACATTTTAAACAAATCATTAATCTATTCATATCCTTTCTCGGGGAATAACACCAAACTTGTGTTATGAAAACAGACAGAACAAGCACAGAGAAAACAAGCCACGTTACTTTTTTAAAAATCTGAAATGAAATAATGAAACTGGACAGTATCATTCCTACAAGTCAGGAAGTCTGTAAACCCTGTTTCTACTAACTGCTGTCATCTATGAGACAATGGAGAAAATTTAAGCTGATTTACTTCGTAGTTATACATTTATATACTTATACATTTATTTAAAAGTGCTTAGACAAAGAGATAGACACTCTTCTTTGAAGAAATATGTGCTGATAAAATTTAAATAAACAAACAGGTACTTTGGCTAAGGCTTTGCATACTCTTACTCACTGGCTCCAAGCCAAATTTAAATCATTAGGACTTCAAAAAGCCAGCTAATCATTCAGGAAAGGTGGAATCTGGTGTTTACCAGCCACATATTTTCTGATCAACTTGCATACAATGCTTATCACTGCACAATACAACTGAATTGAACCCAGATACGTTCCGAGGCAGTTGTACCAGTGGAACTTGATACGGAAAAGCCAGAGAAGCTTGTAGCTGGCGAAATCAGATTGGCAGTGTGATTATGGAGGACACACACAGGAGCACAGAACTCTGATTCAGACTGGGATTTCATTATAGACTTTTAACGCAGATATTGAGAGAGGTAGATTTTGTGGACAAATTATTCAAATTTTCAGCTCCCTGGGCTGACTCTGTAAAATACACCAAATAAAGACTCATAATCATTCTGTGGGAGTTAGCTGCCTGCCTGTAACATACTTAGCCCAGAGTAAAATAAAAACAAACACAAAAAAGCTATATAAAACCCAAGTAGTCCTACATAAACCAGGGCCAGATTCTCCACTGTCTTGCACCGGTAGTTTCTTTTACCTCGCCTGCCTTTGTAGTCACATTCTTATGTCACTGTTCTTGCCTTTGTAGTCACATTCTTATGACTTCAGCAAGATTTTCTCAAGTGGAAGAGTTAACTCCAACAGTACAAAATTTTACAAATTGGCTGCTGGTGATCATGCAAAAGAAAGCACGCAGGAAAATTATTTTCAATGAAATCTGCACACGTCCTTGCATAAGGTGAAACTGCTCTTTACTTATAGCTATCCAAATTATCCTTCTCAAACAGCACTATTCAGACATCTTAAGTTCAAACACGGCTCAAATGCTGTATTTGTCTTCAGTAAAATCCTCTCATGCCACCTAAATCCACTCCATCTAGTGTTTCATCCTGGTTGAATAGTCTGAGGCAGTGACTGCTCACCTCAACTGTGATTTTTTCCAAAGGATAAGCACCATGTTGGGTAGAAGGCAACATAGTTTTGAACAGCACTTTGTTTGACATAGAGGAACAGAATAACATAGAAAGAGTGACATTAAAAGCTTGGCAGGAAAGGACAAAGAAACAGAAAAGTATTTGAATTTGTCTGACCTGCAAAGGCAAACATGAAAACAAAGTATTAACCAATTAAATGTGTTATGTTAACTCTAGCTAGCAGTTAGACTATTTCCCTATGCCATAAAAATGTTGCTGAACTAAATTTGTATAAAAATTGGCAGCTACAAAATAGTTGTTAATTTTGCCTCATCTGTAACCTACCAGGGTTATCTATCTCGACTTTGCCTAGGGTCCCCCCAGAAAAACCCAAACTTTGCAGTATTTCCATTCTGTAGCCTCATAGTTTAATGTATGAACCATGACAAAAGAGCAGGTGATGGGAGAGAAAAAGAAATCAGAGATCCATTTCACAAAGAAAAGAGAGAATTTAAACAATGAATGACAAGAATACTACATCAAGTTTGTCCAGTTTCCAGTGGAGACCTAGACAGCAGAACCAGGACTGCACCTTTTCTCCCTGATGCTTCCTGCAGATAATCTATATTGTTCTGTTATACAGGACTTTGGAAAATCAAGCATTCGTTTTGTAAGTGAATTTAAAATCTTCTTTGTGGATTAATATCAATAAAAGAAATATCATTAGCCACAGAAGGAGAAAGAACATGGACCCTTAAAAATGCTGTAACAAATACCATGTACTTATGGCTATCCATAGACACAAAAAAGAAAGTTCTAAATCTTTCTAACTTTCAGCAACAAAAGCAGACAAACCAAGAGA